ATTGATTACTGAGTACTATATATAATTTTATATAATAGAGAAAAACTGATTATAATTATGATAAATAATACATATATATTATATATATGGTTCTAAAATTATTAAAAACTTAATTTTACCAAAAGGTTATAATTGACTTCTTAAAATTATTTTTTTAAACTATAATCATGTTTTGATAAAATTGGTAAAATGTTAAAAGTACATTATTCAAGTTTTTAAAAAATCTTAGTATAAAGTTCTGAAAATATTTAAATTAGATTAATAATATTGTATTAAAGTTGGAAAGTTAGCCAAAAAAGGAAGTTTAAACATTCATAGAAAGTGTGAATAATATTATTTTACAGAGTATGGTATGTTAATAGAATATTGATCTTAAATATAAAACTTTACTAGAAGCTTATTACAATTTGGATGTGTTGTCTGGGTTATGATGACTGCTCGGAAAGGTCGCAACAGAAACGGCCTATAGACTTTTTGAAACGGTCTGTGTCAAGTCAAGCCCACCTTTCTCCAAGTCTTGCGAAAATCATCGACGTGAGAAGTCTCTCATCAAACGTGACATGACCGAGGGAAGGTCTGGCTTGAACACGGACTAAATTATCGAGGTAAATATCAAGAGAACTGGACTTGAATGTGACTGTTTCGAACCGTCTTGGACTTAGAAACAATTTCGATTTCTCGAGAGAACGCTGGACTTGAATGTGCCTGTTTCGGACGGTCTATCTAGTAAGGGCCGGTAAAAGTTTTCGAAGTTAACTGCCAATCTGGCAGACCGTTTGAAACGGTATTTTTTTTATAGAATTCCTGGCTTGAAGCGTAATAACCCACACAGCATTTTTCAATGAAACTGATTGAATAAATATTTGTTTTAAATTAAATTTTAAATATTTCAATTTTAAAATTTATTGAATTTTTAATAAATATTAAAGTAAACATATTTAAATATAAATATTTAAAAGCATTTAAAAAAATATAGAATAATTAATATTGAATTATCGTTAAATAATAATATTTTATCAATTAATTAAACTAAATATTTAACAAACACAATTATTATTCAATGTTAAAAATTAATCTTGATTTAATTTTTAAAATATATTATTTAATAAATAACAAAACCCAATTTATATTATATATACTAATTATATTTTTTATGTGAGTAGGTAATTTTGTGGTAATTTTTTTTCAAAGTGTGTTTTTTAGTGAAAGAACTTACAGGAAGCGTCCCGTCAAACATATGTGCACATATTATATTATATATTCAGAATTGCGTATGACTAAATAATAGTCTTGCTGCGCATTATATTATATTCTGCTCTAAATGTTATTGTACAGGTATATATTTGTCGTGTTTACTTTATTTATTAAAACTATAGACCGATGAGCGGAGAAAATATTGCGTATCTATTACATTATTATATTGTTATTATAATATAATAATTTTGTATATAAATCCCTGCAGTTTTCATAGTTTTAATAAATACTAAATAGTAAATAGTGATATACAGCCAGTATGGTTATAACTTAGAGTTATAAGGAATGAAAGTATAATAAAAATAACTTAATTATTATGATTTATGAATTATTGGTTGAATCTAAAGTTTACGCGTAGGACATAAAATATAGGCGGTATACATTAAGGCCGGCCGTTTCACTTGGATGTGAGCGTCCGAGGTTTAAAAACGTTTGTAAATCGTCCGTGTCTTAGCTTGAAAATGCATCGGAATTACATTGGGAAAATATTGTTTAATTCTGGCTGAAAATCGCAACATAACGCTCAAAATTAACCATCATGTGCGATTCAGCGCGACTGAACGCGACCAGAGTACTAGACGCTACCAAAAGCGCGTCTCATTTATATCTTAATGTCTTATGTGTGAATCAAGATGGTAGTACACCTTGGTGTGAATACAACCCAAATGTCACCCCCAAAGTATAATATCAGACAAATACCCTGTTAAATTTATAATAATATATTAATATAAAATATTATATAAGCTGATTACACATTAGGCGATTCGAATCCGCGTTTTAAAAACGTCGGAATTATAAATATAATATCGCTTAAAATATTAAACGTGCAGTTTTATTTGGGTTGTATTCACACCAAGGTGGGTGACACCTCAAAAAGCCACCCGACAAATAACCACCCGACACAAAGCCACTCGATAACGACAAAAAACCATTCGACAAAACGCCATTACCAAAATCCGACAAAATGCCACCCGACAAAAAACCATCGTACCACACTACCAACCGTAAATTTGTGAATGAAAATCGTACACTAATGAGTCGTCAAAAAGCCACTCGACAAATAACCATCCGCCATAAAGCCACGGAATAACGACAAAAAGCCATTCGACAAAACACCATCACCAAAATCCGACTAAATACCACCCGACAAAAAAACATCGTACCACACTACCAACCGTATATTTGTGTACAATAATGTTAGGTATCCGACAAATTTATATCGTCAAAAAGCCACCTAAATGAATTATCTATTATCAAAATGAATTAAGTGTCTGGCGCAAAATTTGAAATAATAATGAAAAAAGGTAGGCAAGACGTGGGTACTTACAAGTCTTCCTACCATGCCATTCCTTATACTAAGTTTGTCTTTTCCTCCCACAACTATTGCTTATTGTACACACTACTATTTATAATCAATGATAATATACATATAATATTTTAATAAACTATAAAGCCATAATATTATATTTTAAAAAAAAAGTTAATAAAAGTTTAAAGTTTTTTACACATTTTTGGGTAACGTTTTGAACTGTTGACCTACACCTAATTGTTGGAATAAAATTGATTAAGGGTATTGTTTATTAAGTGTTATTTTTAATTTGAGACATAGGACGGGGGTTTGGTTAATGCATGGAGACATTTGCATTTGTACATTTGGATTTTACTAGTGGTGGTAAACTGAAGGTAGGTTTAACTGCTCTCTATAGCTAAATAGGAAATACTATAATTTGGTTTGAGAAGCAGAATGAGAATGTAATAATCTTTATTCTAATAGTGAAGGATTCATGGATTCTCTAACAATATGACAACTTACCACTAAATAATTATTGTAATATGTATCCTAAATTTCTAACAATATTTTCGAATATTATTAGTCTTTTAGAACTGATGTCGATAAAAAAGCTTGAAAATGTAATATAATGCTCCTAATATATTGTTCCAATAGCAGTTACAAAATATAAAAAATTCATTCATAATTTTTTTTTAAACATTTAAGTTTGAGTTTCGACAAAATACGTAAAAACCACGTAAATTTGCAAATTATTTTTTTGGTTTTTTTTTTCTATAAATGTCGATAAAATGTTATTTGTTGGGTCAAAAAGATTGAAAATGTTATTACAAGGCTCCTGACATATTGTTACAATAGCAGTTGAAAAATATTAAAAATACATAGGCACGTTTTTTTTTTTATAATCATCTAAAATTCAAATGTTTACAACATTTATCAAATTTAAAATATACTAATTATTTTGTAGTAAAAAATGTATGAAATGTTCAACTTTTATAACTAAGATTTGAATATTTAAAATAAGGTTGCACACAATTAGTTAAATCTGTAACTAAAAAATCTAAAAATATATATTATATTTTGACTGTTGATTTTTTAGTTACAGATTTAACTAATTGTGTGCAACCTTATTTTAAATATTCAAATCTTAGTTATAAAAGTTGAACATTTCATACATTTTTTACTACAAAATAATTAGTATATTTTAAATTTGATAAATGTTGTAAACATTTGAATTTTAGATGATTATAAAAAAAAAAACGTGCCTATGTATTTTTAATATTTTTCAACTGCTATTGTAACAATATGTCAGGAGCCTTGTAATAACATTTTCAATCTTTTTGACCCAACAAATAACATTTTATCGACATTTATAGAAAAAAAAAACCAAAAAAATAATTTGCAAATTTACGTGGTTTTTACGTATTTTGTCGAAACTCAAACTTAAATGTTTAAAAAAAAAATATGAATGAATTTTTTATATTTTGTAACTGCTATTGGAACAATATATTAGGAGCATTATATGTATTACATTTTCAAGCTTTTTTATCGACATCAGTTTTAAAAGACTAATAATATTCGAAAATATTGTTAGAAATTTAGGATACATATTACAATAATTATTCAGTGGTAAGTTGTCATATTGTTAGAGAATCCATG